GCTCAAGTGTTAGAAATAGTCAAGGAAGGAACAAAATGTGAATATATGAAATCTAATATTCAGTGGGAATAAATTTTTGTTTTTCTAGAGGTTTTGTCTATATGATGCCATTTGGGAAGTGAAAAATTGAAGTGATTAACCACTTGTTTTGTGTCAGCAATGCCAGCAGTTGGTTTCCTTTACTCATTCCCCCCCCCCCCTTTTTGGCTGAGGAGACTTCCTGTTTGACACACCATGTGTATGGATGTAACTTAGATCTTGCTAAGAATATAAACACCTTGAGGAAAGGGAAAATTTCTTTTTTGTCTTTGAATTGGTGCTTAATAAATGTTTTTTAATTAATAATAACGAGTACTATCATTTACAAAGCTCTTTAAGGCTTCAAAGTGCTTTCCAAATATTATCTTATTTGATCCTGTATATAGAGGGACAGACTGTTCAGTTTAGAAGTGAAGCTGTTCATTTTAACTTTTTTTACGTTAACTCCCCATTTTGTTATATTTTTACAATTCTTTAATTTTGAAAACATGAGAAAATTTAATTTTTTTATTTCTTCCCAGATTGTCTTTTGATAAAGCTGTAGTGTTAAAATCTTGCCTATTTCTACCCTTATTCTATTTCTCTAGAGTACATTAGTTATTCTCATTTGAATTTCCTCCTTTTGGATGATCATTTTAACCTTATAGGAAAAGAACTGATTTTGCAAGTCATCTGACTGAATCATTTGATCTAATTTTTGTCATATGATCTCATCTGTAAGGTTAGTTTTTCATTTTAAAAGAAACTGGCAGGTACTTTTTTTTTTCTTCAAGTTATACACTAGTAGCCAAGGTGGCATGTAATACTTTAAAACAAAGTCACCTGTGGATGGATGAGGTGAATTCACCTCTTCTGGTCTCATGACTCAAAGGAAAGCTGTTCTTGGTGTAGTTTTATATTATTGTTCCCTCACTGAAAAGGGAAAATTAGGTTTCCCTCACCGCCATGTTTAATATTTCTAATGCCACTTCGGCAGTCAGTCATTAAGCTCCAAGTTTTAATTTGAGAAATATTTTAATAGAGTGATTACTTAATAAATGGTAAGTGTTTGTCCTGAGTTTATTTTTTCTCCAGTATGCTATAAGGGGGAAGGTGATTTAAAGGCATAGGCCTTACTTGTTAGCTGTAATGCTGATAGAGGAATTTTTGGTCTAAGAATTACCTTATATAAAAACATTTTAACAGTTGATTTTCTGTTGACCATTAATATTTTAAAATGTTGATTATCATAAACATTTTTAAATAAAAGTTATTGCTTTTGAAGGAATAATCTCTTGGTTAGTCATAGTAGACCAATATTTTGCTTTGTAGTTGGCTTAAATTTTAATGTAAATTTGAAAAATATCAAAAAATTTGAGATGTTTAAAAAAGACTTTTAAATTGTTTATTGATCTAAGAAACTAATCACATAGCATCTAGTTTTATAAATAGAAAAAACAGCACTATTTAAAAATCAATAGAAAAATAAGTGTCAAAAACATTCATTATCCATATTAAACTTTCTGAAATAATACCCATGAACTATGAAGCTTTTTAAATCTACTGTCTAGTCTAAAGTAGATAAGTTTAGTAGACAAAACTGTGGCTATAAACTGACCAGGAGAAAAAGATTCAAGTCAGTCCAAAAAAAGTTTTGAAAATAACTGTTTACTAGTTTGCCTCATTGGACCTTAAAAAACAAACAAACAAACAAACAATCCAGCCCCACAAGATTTGCCATTTACTTGGTACATGAAGGAGAAGAAATCACTTAATCTCTTGATTACCTGCAAAATAGGAACAATAGTATTTGTGCTACCTCCCTAGATTAGTGAAAGTCTGATTTGATATAATGTAATCTACTTGAGGGAGGAGGCATTTTCTTTTTTTTATCTTTGTATCAGTACATAGATAGATAGATACATAGATAATTTGGTATGGCTGTGCTAAGTGCTGTGGATGCAAATCCAAACAATGAGGTAAGATAGTACTTACAGGGAGCATGGAGAAGAGATCCCAGAAAATGGTCTAAATGCCTGGTCAGGGCAGAAGAAAGCCAAAGCTCACCTATCGTGTGAACCATGAGAGGAATGTAGGTTTTGATGGGAGGAGAATAGAGTTGATGACCCTAAGAGTAGATGACATTGTGAGGAGAATTCTGGGAAGTGGTCAGCATAGCACATCATTCCAGACACAGGTTAATAAACATTTCTTGATTGATTGAAATTAAATAATCTAAACTAATTTGTAACTGTAAAATATTATAAAAAGAATCAAGGTTAGATTCCCACCCCTAAGAAATACTGAAGTTGAAAGGTATCATTTTATACTGACAGACATAATCAAAGACTAAGATGCTTATTTTTATTGTAGAATGGTGTGTTTAGTTAATTTAATATTCTGGTTAACTAAGATAATGTCTTTTGATTCAAATCTATCATATTTAAACTTTGGGATACCAATTTTCAGATCACTAGAATAAAGTGAAAGATACTTAGCAGTAAAACTATACAGATTATAATCTTTCATTAATGATTTGGGAAGAAATTCAATATCTTGCAGTCTTTTATATTGTCATCATAGATATCAGTTTTCATCGTACAGTGTTGTAAATGTAGAATAAAAAAATCTGTACTGATTTTATTGTACGTTAGAAATGGCTTTGAACAAATCTCAAACGTTAGCTTATTTACTTGTCATTTGTCTATCTTAGCCAAACGGCATATACACAAAAATTTGGTTACTTGGATTTTCTGAATTCTTTTTAAACATATGTTAACTGTACTTAGGGAAGTAATTTTTAAAGATCGTAAAGCATACATAAAGCATACAATCTCTGAGAGGGATAAGAACCTGAGAGATTGTTTAAACTGAGACCCAGAGAGGTGATTCCACTTGACCAAGGTCACACAGGTAAGTTGGGCATAACTAGAACTGAAACCCAAACCCCAGAGCACTTTGTGCTCCGCCAGGAGATGAGATGGCAGCTTTTAACTCAAACTGGCAAATAACTTAGCATGAAATTAAGTCATAGCACATGGTCAGATTGTTTTCCATAGTATGAAAAACAATTGTTCAGAGAAATAAAGTAGAGAAACAAGAAACCCTTAGGATTTGTGGTTTCAGTTATATTTCTGTTATCTGACCAACATCTCCACTGCCTGTTGCCGCTTCTTCTGCGTATGGAATATCTAGAAGCGTGGATTATATCCACTTTCTTTAATTTAAAAAAAAAAAAAGGTGGTAGGAGATTTTTAGGTGTTGAAGACATACTAGTACCTATTCAAATCTAATTTTTTGTCATGTAATGAGAAATTGACAGCTTTGGAAAGGGTAGAACGTTGTAGAAATTACCCTTTGAAAATGTGAACAGTAAATTAATTCTTAGTCGTTTGGTTGACATAGAACTACATCAATTGATAATCCTGAAGTAAACTTACCTAAATCTGTTCATTTCTGACCTTACCCTGCCTTCCATGTGCCTACCATTGACCAGTTGTACCATTGCTGAATGTACCCTAACTTGCAGAGTTTGTAATTGATGCTTATGATGATCAGTTCTCTTCATTCAAGGCAATTCACTAAACATGTGGGAAGTAGCTACTGTGTGTAAGGCTCTGCCTAGTGATCTGTCAGTCTTAAAGTACTGTGAGAAAGTAGCTTTGTAATTATTCACAAACTGCAGTTGAACAATTTCTCTCCCCCAATTTGGCATAAGCCTGCTTAAAAGCACAGCCCAGAAAGAAGTGAATAAAATTTTTTTTTTGTAATGTAATAATCTTACTGTTCTCATGTGTAAGTAAAAGTCACATCCTTTTGAACAAAAAATGGGATAATGGATTTTCTGGTATATTTTTAATTAAGAAAATAGTATCTGATTAATAAACAAAATATAAAGGTTCTAGAAATATTTAAGGTCTCTGAAATACTAGAAGACACAGTGATTCAACTTTATTTTCAATTCTTTTTTTGACCAAATGTAGGAAAATGAAAATCCTGATTGGTAGAAAAATTGGTATTAATGAAATTACTTTAATAAAGCTAACTTATGGAAAACTATTGAAATTTATATTTCAGTTGAGCAAAATAATTGAATCCACTTTCTCATGAACTTATAGACCCATCATCATTTCTTGAACCTGTTGAAGGATTGGTTCTTATGCTATAAATTGGATTAATTATTCATTTAAAAGCACCTGCTATGTGGTGGGCACTGGGGAAACAATAGCAAAATGAAACCATTCCTACCTTCAAGGAGCTTACCTTCTAATGTAGCAGACAACATGTGTGTATCATATGCATGTATCTATGCCTGTATATATGTACATATATACCTTTTCATGTACATCTGTACACATCACAGGCAATGCTGATGCAAAGTAACCTTGTGGGAAAGATACCAGTCTCTGAGGGGACTAGGAACAGTGACCTGCAGAATGTTGCACTTAAATGTTGTATCTTAAAAGAAACCATGAGCTCGAGGAACGAGTATTTTTAGGGGGTGGAGTGACAGCAGCCAGTGCTAATAATGGAGATGGGGCTCAGAGGTTCATGTGTGAGGAGTACCAGGAGTGCCACTTTGGCGTAGAGTGTGTGGAGGGGAGTAATGGGTAATACTATTAGAAAGGAGAGATGGGGCCAGCCTGTGAAGAGCTTTAAGTGCCAAAGAAAAGAGTTTAAATTTTATCCTAGAGGTAGAAAGGAATCATTGGAGTTGATTGAGTATAGGGGTAACGTCATACTCATTGTTTCACATTCCACTCTGTTATTTTACTGCTTATATGACTTTAAACATATCCATTCACTTCCTTCGGCCTCAGTTTTCTCCTCTATAAAATCAGTGAGTTGTACTGAATGACATCCAAGCTCTCCTTTGGCCCCAAATCCCACCATTTTATGATTTTTTTGCCTCTTCCACACAGTTTCAGAGTATCATTTAAGAAATAATAGTAACCAGTTCTATGTGTTTGTTTTCCCCCCAGATATCCATCACTTTTGGTGATAGTTGCCTTTGCTAGCTATGTTTCATTCCTTCTCTGAAACTCATCACCACCCCTTGCAGGCTGAAGAGCAAGAAGTCGGCATTGACCCTTTGCTGGGTTACTTGAAGTCTGAAGGTAAGTTTTGTATTCCTTTGCTTTCCTTTACCCTTGGAAAGCCTTAGAGGAGAGTCTGATGATCGTGAAGCCTGTCATAATTTGTTTAATTCTCCCAATGAGGCTGAGCAGGGTAACTTTAAGAACATTTCACAGAATGTTCATAGTACACTGTGACACTAATGAAAACCGCAAAAAGTCAACTTTCAATTATATACAGAAACATTAGCCAAATGTTCAATGTGCTGTCATCCTTTTTAAATCACAAGCCAAACAGTGACTTTAGCAGAAGAATGTAGGAATGCAAAGTGGGCTGTGTCCAAGCTCTTTTAGCTGCTTTAGAAGTTGGTTTTTCTAAAATAAATCAACCTCTTTTTTTTTGGCTTTGCATGTATGATTTTTCCCCCTAAGCTTAGGTTATGCAAGGATAAAAACTCGTTTGCTTCTAGTTTTCTTTGTAACTCTCAAGATTCAGTTATGCTTTTAAGTGAACAGTAGTAGTAGAATCAAACCTTTTATAATGGAATTTTATTTTTTCCCCTATTAAACTAATTTGTGGTGAGAATACCCCATCATTATTGAGGGAACCACCTTTAAATCCTTTTCTATATTCCATTCCCTTTCTAATAATTTATTAGCAATTATAGCATAGTTTATTAATAGGAACTAAATAATAAACTTAAGCTTCTTAGAAATTTTATCCTTTCTAAGAAAGTATTCATCAGATTCTTAGAGATTCACAGTAACCATAGGGGCTGGTCTGCTACGTAGATACCAGTAATATTCCATTTACTACATTCACCAGGATTGTGTGATAAAAATATTTTTAAATTGGTCAAAATAACTTTTGTCTGTTTCTTGTCCACTTAACCCAAATTGTTCTTTAAATGTGTCTTTATTACATTCTGCAATTTAAACATTCTATTAATTTATCTCCCTAGTAAGTTGGGTTATAGTTAATTTAAGTGATTTGAGAAATAAATTTCTATGGAAATGGAGTAAATTTTATTCTCAGTTTTTTTTCAATACAGTATTGAAAGTAATGCCACTATTGATATTGAAAATAATATTTTAATACTACCAGATGTCTTAATCGTTATATTTTTGATGCATTAAGAATTTTATAAAATAGCTATCAATGTTTTAGCTGCTTCCTTGGAATTTTGTTTTTATTTAAAGTGAGGCAGTTTGGATCTGTGATTTCATCTGTATAGAAAACTCATGGTTTGGAAATTCTTGGCTGGCAAAAAACACTTATGTAACTCCTACTCTTAAAGAGTCGCCTGGGACTCTGGGAGCTTATAAATTCACTTGTCCATGGTCATTGAAATGCTGTGTAGAAAGAGGCAGGATTTGAATGCAGGTCTTGCTGGCTCTTTGGTGATTCTTTTATCCACTATGCTTCATTGCCTTTCAGGTTTTCTGTATGAGATAATTAAAATATAGTGCAACATTTTAAAATTTGGGTTGCAAACATATGCCATACTTTTAAAGGAATTTTCTTTAATGAAATGGAAAGAAATATGATGTAAGAAATAGTTTCTCAAAACTAAGTGATCTTCAGCTAATTAACATTGAAAATAAGTATGACTCTTGTGATCAACATAAGGTCTTGTCACTCCAATTTATGACTTTGTTTCTGGTTGAGATGCATATTTCTTATCACAGTTCTTTTGGGTAAGGGGTTAAGAATAAATTTCGATCCTAGCTATTTCTCTGAGAATAGGGATTTTTAAACCCTGTTACAAAAACATTTTAAATTAATTTTACCTGTTATTATTTACCTGTTATATTAACCAAGCAGGAATGCTTGGTTACCTTGACTGAAAAGGCTTTTCGTTTATATCCTATCCTAACATTTCTCTGACATACAGAGTTATTAGGACTGAATTGATGTTTAAAAGTGCCATTAATTCATTTACCCCAAATGTTCATTAACAATGTAAATGTATGCTGATGTTCTATGAGACAAGGAAGTGACTAATGACTCTTCGCACTAACAACACTTAAAATGAATAGAAACTTTAGATAGCTAATCTTGAAGTAATCAAGACCCTCATTCAGCTTGGCTTCTCTGTATGCTCTAAAACAGCTGTCAACTGTTAAAAATATATACAAAACACACACATACGCACATGCACATGCAAAGAGAAAGATATGTAAATATATGGCTCTTCAAAGTCATAAAGGTTACTAACCATAGTGGATTTTGTGCATTGTATATGTAAATATTTTATAGAAAGCAACTATTTCGTCTTCATAAATTTCCTTTTTTGAACAGAAATGTGCATTGCATTTTAATATGGACTTCCTATTCAACTGAAGTATCATCACCTTACTAGTATGTTTGTTTGTTTGTAAAATGTTTTTGTAGGAGCTTCCAACTTTAGATTTGGAAGTGTTTATATATTTTTGAAACCTTACCACAGCATACCCTCTATGATTCTTTTGCAATAGAGTATCTATCTGGCTATTGAGTTGTTCCATTTGTAATTAGTTGAAGACTAATGTAGCGTTAGAAATGAGTCTGAGTGAAATAGTTCTTTTTTTTTTCTTCTTCCAATAAACCCCATGCCACCCCACAATGAGCAGAAGCTTACCATTTTTTTCAAGCTGAATTATAACCATTCATGAGAAAAAATTGCCATTAAAAAGGGCCTGTGGAAACTGAAAAAGATAAACACCAAAGCAGTTAAAAAGTGATTATCAAAAGAAAAATCCGTAGGATTATTAGTCGATTTGTGTAGACTGAGCGTATACAAGGAAAATGGAGAGAGTTTGAGGGGTGATGGAAGAAGTATAGTAAATGCTCTTTTCAGGTGGTGGCCTTTTCTGTGGCTAACTTCATGGATGCTTGGATCTCTTCTTTTTTAACTTTAAAGAAAATACGGCATTCTATCTTCTCTATAATGACTGGAATACAATAAACTTGAAATACCACAGCAAGTCCTAAGACCTCCGACTAAAGAAGTGGATGATTCAGCAGAAAACATAATGTATTTAATAAAATTGGGAAACCTGATTTAGTATCAAAATACTATGTCAGTTTTATAGCCAAAGTAAAAGATGTTATTATGCATTCACAAGCCATACTTTTTATAAAGTAGTAATTGAATGAAAAAGTATTTTACTTCAAATTGAAAATAGTCTAAAATCATTTCTAGAGTTTGATACATTCTCAATTAAATAAAATAAGGCCTTATCCTAACTTGCTTTCACCACCAAAAAAAGCTCTTTAATAGAGTCGCCTGCTACTCCTTGGGAGACCACCATTTTTTTCTCTTCTAAGATCTTTGACAACAGTATTATGGTTATTTCTGGTTAATTTTACCTGAAGTTTACTGTAGTTATCATATATGTATTTTATACATATATTTGTATTTTTTTGTGTCTGTATGTATTTAATATAAATAGCCTTAGTAAAAACGTATTTCTCTTTGTTATGAAACAGAGCTAAAATTACTCTTTCATCTACCTTTAGCTCAGGGGTTGAATATCAAACCCACATTACCAATTGCTGCTCTAAAGGGTGTGCGAAGCTGCTGCTCCGTTCAGATCCTTTGGATGTTCAAGTGTCTCTTCCTCCGGCAGAAGCTGCTTTGCCTTGTCATCCCTCCTCCCTCCTTTAGATTCCCTGCTCTGAGCCCCCTCTGCATATCTCTGTCCCATTCTACCTTACCTTTCTTTGTGCCCTCTGAAAACTGGTTCTGTTGTCAGGAAGTTGTACTTTATAGGTCTGTGCTCTTCTCTGGAAAATTGGTTTTATGTATTTTATATTTAGTCGTGTATGCATAAATTATTTACCCCCAGTAGTATGTAAACTACTTGAGTGTAGAAACAGCTTCATTTTTGTCAGTATCCCCAATGCCTAGCACATAATATTCACTAATAAAATGCTAATTGAATTGAATAGAATTTTTTATATCAACACATATGAAATATTTAAAATTGTTGCTTTGTGTTTATTTTTTCTTATCCTATCAGGTCATTAAGATTATTTTTAATTTATTTTCTCCCCAAAGAATGTTACCCTTTTGAGTATCCTTGAATCATTATGAATCAGATAAAAGGAACACAGAAAAATATTTTAATTTTTAAAGGGTTCATAAAAATTAGTACATTCTCCTCATTTTACAGATGACAAGATTTTTTCTATTTTCATAATCAATAGTAATAATGATAATAATAATTGAGTTCATTGGCATATCATATCCTATATGAAAATCTTATAAATATCAGAATTTTGAGGTGAGTTCAGTGTGATCTTTTCCAACCCATGCTTGGTGTATGTCACTTTGTGGGTTTTGAATCCCAGTTATGTTACTAGACATGTGGACTTGGACAAGTCATTTTACCTTTTTTTTTTTAACCTCAATTTCCTCATCCATATACTAAGGGAGTTGTACCAGATGCTCTCTGAGGTTTCTTTCATCTCTCAAACCTGGGATCCCTCTACAGCATCTCCAGCAAGTATCCAGCCAGGCGCCATTTGAATGCCTCCAATGATTTTCTCTTACTTCTCTGCATATTCATCCATGCTTATTCTGGTACTTGAAATTTTCTCCTTTCTGGTCTTCAAAGCCTATAAACTCCACTTTCAAATCCCTCTTAACGCCCACTTCTTCTATGCTTCCTTTTAATTACAATCTATACTAAAGGTTTCCCTAAGGATGAATTGGAGAGAGTTTCCTGACAAATAAATGTCAAGTTATAATACCCTAATTAACCCAAAGCAAAAATCAGTTCAGCAAGACAGGGGTAAAAAGGGAAAAGCTAATAACTTCTTGGCCAAGAAGTTCATAGCTACTGTAATTCAATCTTTATATGAACCTAGACCGTAGGTAGCATGACTGTGTTCAGGATACATGTCTGTTTCCTGAATTTTGTAAAAATAAGTTGTTTCTTTGTAGTTTCTACAATTTCTAAAATTTGATATGCTATACTTAAAAATAATTGTTCATGTTATATGTACAAGAAAAAAAACTAATCAAGTATAGATTGACCTTAAATGTTCAGGATTT